AGCCCGTCTGATGTGTACTGGTAAAGAGTTCCATAGACGTGCAGCTTTCACAGAAAAGGAGTTGGTAAGAAAACAACAAAATGAATCCTAAAAATTCAACTGTAATATGTATATAAAAATCCGAAAACACAGTTTTATTTAAAATATATTCTTTATTAATTTAATGAAGGAAATGCAAAAATATAAAATTATTAAATGCTTAAATATTACCACAAAAGAGTTGTTGTTATACTCGTAGATACGATATGTAATCAGTTACAAGTCCTTCTCAAAAACCTCTTTCGATACGTATATGAAGTCATTTTAATATTTGTTTTATATTTCCTCATGTAGTTATGATTATTGATTAACAAATTACACTGTTATTAGATAGCATTGTGATAAAATTATAGTTAAGTACTCGCTATTTTTAACCCCCGGCGCAAAAAGAGGGGTCTGTGGGATCGTAGCTCTCAAACAGATGGACCTATTTCGATGCGGTTTTTTTCATTTGAAAACCAGTTTCCTTGCAGTGGTTCTTAGCTATGTTTGGCTAATATCGGTCCAGCAGTTTAAAGAGTATCAGCTCTTTTCCAAAATGATGTAAGGCATTTTGGCGTATGATTACTCGATTATAAGCTTCACGCATGTCAGTGTAATCGTTACATGGGAACTAATTTGCGTAGGGGGTTTTTACATTTTTAATTTATAATTATTGACACTAATTTTATGTAATAGTTAAAAATAAAACTTTATAATATTACACACCTTTAATATAAAAACCTTTTGATACATTATAAACATATTATAATCAGTACAGTTTCATCAATATCACGCATATTTCATTGAAAATTGTGAATTAAAAAGATAGTATGATGTTTTAGCCTTACTTAGGACCCAAGTAGTACGGAGAAAAGTTCTCTTTGCTACTACAATCCGCATCGACTTAACTAGAATCTAAAAACCATGAAGCATGTAATCTATTGTCCTCGGCATTATATACCATATCATGGATTGATCACCCATAGAAAACAATTAAAGATTAGTCATATTTATATTATTATGAGGTAAATTTAATCATGTAGGTACGCAGATAAATCTCGATTGGATATAGAAATATAACTATGCAGGAAACCATATCATTGTACTCGTATTACTAATTTTATCATCATCATTTGTATCATAAATAAATAAAATAAATATGTTGGGTATCTGGTTCCCATGGTAAGCTACGAAGTACGAGGCTTGTGTTATGGATACCAGATAGTTGATACACTACACATATATAACTTTAAATACACACATAATAATTATAAATATAAACACCCATTGCTGGAGTACAAACTTTCGTGCTCAACAGACAAATGAATGCCCCAGCGGGTTTCGAACCCGCGACCACTGGCATAGCAGGTAGGGTCACTACAAACTGAGCCAAACGTCATGTATAATGTATGTGGTATCTTACATGTAGCAAACTAGGAATATTTATGCAGAGTTAGGAAATCCGTTTTAACTTACAACCAGATTTATCTAATTGTGGGCATTCAGTTCAAACTTTACAAATTTAAATTATTCGATCGCAATATAATAATTTTGTACCATCATCATCATCATCCATCATGTTTTTCGTTAAAAAAGGTGGAAGTAAAACTCAAATGGTTACTGGTAATTCGCTCAAAAATTTTTGATTTGATTTGACAAGTAGTTTGTAGAGAATTATGGAGCAGATGGAGGTTGAAGATTGTCCTGAAGAAAGAGTTAAGAAAAGTCATTTTTTAAAGTTATTATTTTTATTCTATCCCTAAGCAAAGTTCAATTTTATTTTTTTGCAACATAACTTAAATACTTAATTGGTCGCTGTGACTATGGTCTTTATTTTAATTAGATAGATAATCTATACATATAATAAAATGCAAACAAAGCCGAATCTGTACATCAAATATTTTTTGGAAAATCTTATTGAAATACACATTATTATCGATACAGAGGCCGAATCTATAGTTTTTAGAATTTTTGTCTGTCTGTCTGTTACCGCATCACGGAAAAACCACTGGAGGGATTTTGATGTTTGGTATGGTGATAGCTGGTTATCCGAGTCAACATATAGAATACTCTTTACCGCGGGAAAATATCTAATTTAAGAGAAAAAACACAAAAACTGCAATGTAAGAGTATACTAATCTGTAAAACCTAAGAATTTGGTTTTTGGTTATCTAAACGCGGGCGGAGCCGCGGGCAATGCTAGTCAGGCTATATAGATATGCTTCAACTGTAACCTGATATTTTTAAATAATTTTAATATTTGCGTCTGTATTATGTGTATAATTATTATTAGTTGTAAAATTTATTGCGCCTCTTATTTTTTGTATATCCAATAAATGAATGTGTGACGTCTCAATGACAGGCAAATTAATTTGTGTTAGATGCGCTAAACTTTTTCCACTCAATTGAAGACAATAACAAACTAAATTAAGAACTGTACTGCTCTCGCTAAAAGTAAGTACTCTAAAGTCTCGTTATTGTTAAGCGTATTTTCTTTTTGCCTATTAAGCGTGACTTGGGGGTTCTCAAATATTAATAATACGATTTTTCTCCTAACTAATTTTAATGCGTGCTTAAAATTATGAACACTCTACATATATTTATAAAATGCATACATATTTCTGTTATGCAAACGAATGCATATGGACATGTTTTTTTTTCCCAAAAAAAGAAAAATTAGTGACAAAAGGACTCCTTGATTCTTTCTTAGAAATAAATATAATTTATCCGAAGCTTCTAATGAAGATTACACGATATATATTATACTAGCGACTCACCCTCGCTACTCTCGGGCTCGTCCCTAGCTTGCTTCCCAATACAAACTTTCGTCCCCATTTGATTTCCGGGATAAAAATAATTCTATATCCTTCCCAGGATCTTAATTTATCTTCTTACCAAATTTCTTTAAAATCGGTTGAGTAGATCCAGAGATTACAATCCAGAGATACAACGTCACAAACTCACAAACTTTACCTTTTTATAATATTAGTATAGATATGTATATATAACGTAGGCCTTTATGAATTAATTGCATATGAACTAAATAGCAGACTAGATCGGTAATAAAAATACGAGTACCATTATAAAAGTTGGGAAAGTCCCTCGAATTGATAACAATAGAGTTAAAATAAACTTCATACTGCTTTGGAGTATTGTTATCCTAAATAAAACCAGCTTTAATGATGTCAAGCGTTTCACCGAAGCTCTTGTTATACAAAGCACATAAAACACTGTACTTGAGCTTTAAGATACAAAGCTCTATTATTACCTGTGGTTTTATTTAGAATAATTTACATAAAAGGAGGTACTCATATTATATTGTCAATTTGTTATACGGATACATATGTATATTGTTACAGATACATCTATACATATAATAAAATTGTAACTAAGACGAATCTGTACATTAAATATTTTTTGGAAAATCTTATCGAAATAAATTGCCTGTAGATGTAGATTATATCAATATATGTATATTAATTTTTTTTTATTTAATCAAGTGTAACGGTAAAATCTAAAAAATAGTATAACTTCCAAAATTTATAAATGGAGTCTTTAAAACATTATGCTCTTTATGAAATTACAGCCTCCCTTGGATAATTAACAAATGAAATATATTTTCAGTTTTCCGTGTATTTAAAGAACCAAGTTTTAGACGTTGCTTCAAAACATCTTGAAGAAGAACTCAACAAATATTCAGGTCAATACAATTTAAATATTAGCCATTAGCATGTAACAAATTGTAGATAAGATAAAACGGGCAAAATACTGATAAACAAGACATTTTTTACTTATCTACCAGTAAACACGGATATCTATATAAATAAAAATCGATTGCCAAATGTATGTAAATGAATTATTTCAGAACGGCTGCACCTAGTTGGCTAATTCTTTTTTTGTGTTTGTAATCGTCAGGACTTGGGTGAAAGAAATATTTGAAAAATTGTACGGAAAAGTGAACAAATCAGGTGAAAAATAAAACAGTGAGTTGACAGATTGACGTTGAGTTGTTCAGTTTCTTCATCATGACAACAATATTTAAAAAAGAAATTGATAGTTTTGTCAAAATGTAAGATAGTTATATTTATCTATACTAATTAATGTACTGTATTATAAAAAGGTAATGTTTGTGAATTTGTGAGGTATTAGGGGGTAATCTCTGGATCTACTGAAATTTGGTAAGAAGATAGTTTGGGACCCTGGGAAGGAGATAGGATAATTTTTTTCCCGGAAATCATCCCTTAAGGAGGTGAAAATGGGAAGAAAGTTTGTATTGGGAAGCAAGCTATGGACGAACTCGAGCAAAGCGTGCGTGAATCGCTAGTTTATTATAATTAGTACTTGTATTATAACTGTTCTGTCAAGAAATTGACAACTCAATTGTAGAATACTTCAAGGCAGTAGGTACATTTAAAACTGGATAGTGTACCTACTCATAATTTTTACAAGCTTTTATTTAACTTGCAATGTTTGTATGTTTGTTCGGATGAAATGCAACTGAATTTTAAAGCAGCTATCCTTAATGGATTGAGCTGAAATTTTGTATACACGGTCAGTTTAGATGACAATGCATGGATAGTTAAGTGAAGTCATTCTAAATCCAACATGGTGGACTCCCAACGATGGCGGGCTATGTTTTTTTATGCACCCTCCATGATATGGATATGAAATGAAAGGGTTTGCTGAGAAGAATACGAATAAATACCTTAAAAATAAACTTTAGGTTAAATCAAACCCATTTATTACATTACACAATTTATATCATATAAAAGCTTGTTTAAAAAATGTTTTTTTTTAATATTAATATATGTATGGAAATTACACAATATACATACATATTTATATATTATCGAAACTGATTCAAGAACAAAAAAAATATTTACATAATATAAAAGTGAAACTATGATCGCACGTGCTATGTATATATGGTATAGGCTAATGCACATAATAACATAGTGTTGGTATACAAATATTTATTATAATTTAGTATCACGTAGAAGTACTGCGGCCTCGTAAGACGGTAGCCCACTATCGACTCTAGTTGTTTTCTTGCATTTCGGACAAGGTTCTGTTAAGACGTCCTGAAAAAATTTTTTTCATTATGACTTAACTATATCTTAAGCTCAGATTGACAGATCTTAATTAAAAAATTAAATTATTTTATTTATATATAACTATTATTTTTTCTTTATTGTCAATCTATTTGATGATTATAAGGTCTTCGTTAATTGAACGCCATTTTAATTACCATAATTACAGCAATTTAGATTTAAAAACATATATATCAATGCAATAGTGCTTTTTTTTAAATATCAAACAATCACTTAGTTAAATCTTTACCTGTAAAATGTTGCTATCCTTGTCTATAGACGATCCTTCCACAACAGTTTCGTAGGCTGGCGGAGGGCCAGCGGGCACCTCCTCGAGCTGTAACTGCTGAAAAAGAGTTGACATATTTTAATCAAACTACTATTATAAATGCCAAGATTGGCCAAGTTTTTTAAGTTTGGTCATGTGTTTTTGCTTATTACTCTGTCAAAATGAAATGGCTGGACAAATTTGGGTGTAATTTAACACACATATAGGTTATAATCTGAAGTAAAATAGGTACATATAGGCTACATACTGTTAACTACCTAGAGACGCAGACGAGCGAAAGGAATGTAAGTCGCTAGTAAGTTTAAATAATTTTATGAAATTCGTTTTCATCAGATTATTATGGCGTTTTTATTTACTTTTCTCATACTTGTTTTTAATTGTTGCTCCGCTTAAAATCCTCTTTATATTATCTAGACATATAATGATATATCCATATATCCAATTTGTAACTATCACTTTTTTACAGTATATATTCGTAATGTAAAAATTAATTATTTTTAGCCAGTCACTTAACTTCAACTTTCAATATAAACGTGTATTTTATAAGTAAATTTCAGGTTTTGAAGTGAAAACTTCTTTAGGCACTTTGGGCCTTTTTCGGGATGGGAGAAAAGCGCTGAACTCGCGTGACCGTCACGCTCAGATACTCGTATAAAATGACGCTAAAGAGATGGAGAGAGTCATTTTACGAAGTGTAAGCGAGATAGATAGATGATGCCAGTAATATTTTATAAAATACTAGCGGCTCACCCTCGCTTCGCTCGGGTTCACCTCTAGAAAAGCACAAACAGATCTATCCCACGGGAACCGTTCATTTTCCCGGGATGAAAAGTAACCTGTTGTTTGACCAGCAATATAGGGTATCAGCACGCCAAATTTTACTAAATTAGGTGCGTAAGTTTCTTAACTATCCCACGGAAACTCTTTAATTTTCCGGGATCAAAAGGAGCTGATTTGTTATTGTCATGTATGAACTATATTATTGTAAAGTTTCATTAAAATCCAATCAGTAGTTCTTGTGTACTAAGCTGTATAAGTTGTTATAGTTTTTTAACTATCCCACGGGAACTCTTTAATTTTCCGGTATTAAAAGTATCGAAGATGTTGCCCGGGGATATAAGGTACCACCATGCAAAATTTCATTTAAATCGGTCAAATAGATTCGGAGATTAGCCCGTACAAACAGAAAAATAGACAAACAGCTCGCTCCGGTTCGTCCATACCTACGAATATGTTATATTATCTCTTTAACCATTAGTCCAAATTATATGCAGTAAAAGGGAAAAGTCTTTTGTTTTAAACATTTTAGACGATAAAATTACTTTTTTTAATAAGAATTCATAATTGTTGATAATATGACCAATAAACATGACCTACCGATTTAAATTATTCTTTCAATATAAAAAACTACTTTTTGTGACTTAAATATAAAAGTTAGACATATGCTATCGCTGACTTTTTTGTAGGCATTATTAAGCTCTACAACTTTTCTCTAGAACATAATCATATATCTCTCATCGTTAAGGCAGCGTTCGTAAGAAACGTTTTCGTTCGACCGTTTTTCCTCCGACTTACTTTGCAAATCCGACTTCCACGAAAAACCCTTTTCATTTTTCGGGTTATTATATAGCCTATGACACTCAGAAAGAACGTGGCTTTCTATTGGTAAAAGAATTTTGAAAATCGGTTCAGTAGATCCAGAGATTACCCCCTACAACGTCACAAACTCACAAACTCACAAACCCACAAACTCACAAACTCACAAACTCACAAGATCACAAACTTTACCTCTTTATAATATTAGTATAGATGATATTTATAAATTTGTTTGTTTTCTTTTTCATGTAATACACGGCAATAAATGAATTATTTTATTACTATATATACTTAATACGTTGATAAAAATATTTTCTTATAAAAAATAATATTAAGAACAACCCAAAAATAATGTTTACAAGTTTGTGAAGCTAAAAAGTTTCCACTTATGACGTGCAGTCCTACGACTAACTTTTTTATGGCTAGTTATTCTAAGGACTGAGGTTGTTTTTTCAAAAGCTATATATTAAAATGGATAATTTTTATGCTGAATAAAGATTTTTGACTTGCCAATAGTGATTAAATATTTATTTCAAAGCAATATAATGACCTACAAGTTATTTTTACCGCTATATTTGTAATATTAATAATAGTTTTTATTTCTTTTTCAGATGATTGTATGCTATAAAACATCTAAAAGCATGAAACCCTGAATTAAAATTTTGTAATGGTAAGTAATCAAATTATAAATGCGCTGTTTACATGGGGCTGCTTTACTTGTATCAACCGATCGATTAAAGTTAATTAAAAGCTTTCAAGTTAAAAATATAACAAAATTTATGGAAGGTTAAAAGAATGGTTATAGGTTCTCATACGTTTTTTATAGTATACGTTTTACTTATTTAAAAAAAAGCCTATCCAAATCGTTTATAGATACTGAATTGTAAAAGTATTTTATATTATGTATACATATATAACTTTATTTTTAGCAATATTATATTTACGAAACAAATTTCCTAATAACATAAGCCCAAAATAAAGCATAAATAATTCATAAGTTTCATATATTATGTATATTGAGTGTGTGCATGAGGACAGGGCATTCTACGTGCCTTCAATACTGTAATTATAAGCCATCATAGCGTGCATCTAATGCTTACATTTGGTAACAAAACACACGCGATCATTTATTATTCTAAAATACCAAATAGAAATTGTTATTTGAAAAATGTTATCGCAATATACATGTAACTGAATAAAATGAACCAATTTTGTATGTATTCAGCTCTTTTTAACGTCCCACTGCTGGGCACAGGCCTCCCTTCAGTACGAGGGGGATCAGGCCACTGGGCTACCACTGCCTTCGAACCAATCTTAAGTAATAATCAATTTTGCACTTAATGATATGGGCATGGAATGCATTCACGAATATATCGACAAATTATAATCCATCTTTAGCGAGATCGGTACTTCATTATAGATACGTATTTTTAAAATATAATTTTATAATATTAATATATATACATATATATATATATATATATATATATATATATATATATATATATAAAATAAACTAAGTATCAGTATCAAATTCGAAAGTACTAGAGAAGCACTCGTGCTCAAAGAGAGTAGCAGCCAATCTAGGTGCCTTTACGAAGCAGAAATTTTTAAATGCAAAGAAACGGAACGTCCAACTTCTTATGTCAAAATGCAATAAACTTTGTATTCTTACTTTGGAAAGACTAAGGAGTTTTGAAATGAAGAATAAAATAGTTATAAGATTTTCGTTGTGTACTTATAATATTTATGTATAAATAAATTAATATTAGGTGAGATTTTTTTATTATTACTGACATTATTGAAGTTTTAAACAAGTAAAACCTTTTGCAACTGCTAACATAAAACTAGTCTATGTAAGTTAAGTCTTCGACCCATAAATAAACAATTTTGCCAAAAATCATTGTTATTACGCGGAAGAAGAGCAAATCAAACGCACTTACGCATTTTTATACTGTATATTAATATTGAAGAAATACTCTAGGTGAAAATATACTTACTAAATACATGTTTATCGCAATGTGTTATGTTTGCTACATTTTAAAAACCATAAATAAAACAATTTTCAACGGATTTAAGAAACGTGTAGTTTAAGTTTTACATAATATTAAATTATCCATGGTCTCGGGCGTTGTTTGACTTCTGTTATCTGAGATTATTTCGATGAAAAGTCCCCTTAAGATATGAGTTCAACAAAATTCTCATGACATAAAACGTTGGATTACGATTTACTCCGTTTTTACTACTAACTAGTCGAAGACTATTAGCGCTTTTAAGATTATGTATTAAATCACTACATATTATAAAACAAAGTTCTCCGCCGCGTCTCTCTGTCTGTCGGTTCGCGATAAATTCAAAAACTACCGCACCGATTTTCATGCTGCTTTCACCAATGGATAGAGTGGTTCTCGAAGGAGTTTTTAGTATATAATGTGTTAAGTTTTGTACACATTGCCTAAAATATAACGATATTTGTTGGAGGTATCGGAAAAAAATAAGCCGTCTGGGAGCTTTCAACGAAAACGCTGCTGCTGTATTGTGGAATTGTGTATCTTATATAGATCTACAGGAAAGTCCGCGATGGCATATGTCTATCTGTTAAGGATAACATACTATATCCATTTTTAATTTAAAACCTACCTAGGGACGAACCCGAGTGAAGCGAAGGTGAGTCGCGAGTCTATAATAATTTAAGGAATCAATAGTAACATAAACTAACACTATTTTCTATTTTGACCCGTTTCAAAAAGAGGATTTTTCATATTTACATAGATCGATAATTCGCCATATCTGCCGTGATAAGTCGATTACGTACAACATTTTTATCGATTTCACTAGATATACTAGATAGTATGATTACATCGTATATATGGTTTATCGAATTTCCACAAATCTAACTAGAGGGCTAAGACAGGAGCGAAGCCTAGCATGGGCCTCGTCTTCTATGGCTGCTCGCATCCCATATTCGAGTCGGTTTTGACTCATGGCTAGAATTTAACATAGTGAACAAGTGAGTGGAGACCAATCATAAACCCAAACAGATTGACGAGGATGATCTTCCGACTTTAACGATCGCACTATATAGGTACAGGACGAAACAAACGAGTGGGATTTGTAAGAACAGTATCTTAAATATTGAAGATATCCAGTTTCCCTCAAAAAAAAAAAAATATTTTTTTACATAATTGCATTTTTAGTATTATTTAAACAGCGCACTGATTATGAAATATCGTGAAGATAAACATAAACAGGAAATAAATAAAAATAATTAATAAAAGATGGTCGAGATTTTCGCTCCAATTTTAGTTTTACACTATTTACAAATTATTAAAAAAATATATGCTTAAAATTGACTGGTCTTATATTTAAATCCAGTTATCAATATGTTTAAAAATATAGAAGTTTCCTATGAGTGAAACTTAATATCTTTAATTTTTATATATATGTATGTCTCGTTCATTTGTTCCATTACTTATAAT